AGGTAAGCTTCAGGAAGTTTTAAATTTTCATTAAACATTAAATAAGTTAATGCCAAAAGTGATGTTTCTGTATATCCATCTGCACAATGAATTAAAATTTTATGATTACAATTGTTTGCTTGGTTTGAAATGAATTCACAAAGATCTAATAATTTTGTAATTATTATATCGAATGTTTCTACTTTTTCATTATTATTATTATTGTTGTTGTTGTTGTTGTTGTTGTTGTTATTGTTGCTATTATTATTATTATTATTATTATTATTATTATTATTATTATTATTATTATTATTATTATTATTATTATCATCATCATTATTGTCGTTGTTACAATTATTATGATTACTACTGATATTAATGTTACTGGTAACTCTTGATGATATACAATCTAAATGTATTATATCATCGGTCGTAAAAGATTTAGATAAAAGAGAAAGTTGTCCTGCTGCAAAACAAAGTGTTGTTTCATCTGGCATTTCTGCTAAATCATGTGATTCAATACATACGCAGAATTGATGTGGATTATCATCAATTAGTGAAATAGCCGAATCAGCAGGATCAAGATCGCTTGATATAGGAACATCTTGAGTATTACCCAACTAAATCAAGAAAGATGATTTATATCATAAAAATATATAATAAATCTGTTTAATTATTCATTTTTTTTTGTTTGTTTGTTTAATTAACAAAAAATAGTAATATAGCAACATAGCAATATAGTAATATATAATAATAATAATCTCTATATTTACAAAACAAGAAATGGGGATCGCGTATTTATAAATCCATGATCCATAAAATTATTTACCCAAACGTTTGTTGATATTTCTGAAGCTGAAGTCAATATCTTCATTTCTTCTCGTTCTCGATCCAGAAAATTGATTTTATTACGTATGACTCCTTTACTATCGATCGAAACAAGTTCCGGATATTCTTCTTCAAAATAAGAAAATGGATCTAAAATAAGAAGTATTTAAAGTGTATACATATATATTAAAGTGTATATATGTACATATTAAAGCATTCAATTATTAATAATCACTTATTGTTAATTATTATAATCACTTATTGTCACTTATTATCACTTATTATCAATATTATCACTTATTATCAATTATTATTATCAATTATTATTATAATAGATTAATTCATTATTTCTACTTACCTACAATCACAAATACTTCATATTCCATTAAATTAGGTTTATCCTTTCTAAAAAGTTTTTGAGCCCAAGCAATTTGTTTTGCAACTTCCATTACATTATCATCTACTCCATTTTCACCATATACAAAGATATCTGAAAGTGTAGCATATTTTGCTACCTGAATTTTAAAATTTCTTAAATTAATACCTGAACCTTCTGGATGAATCAAAAATCCTTTTACTAAAGATAATTTAATATCTTTATCTTTATTATTAAAATTATTATTATTATTAAAATTATTATTATTATTATTATTATTATTATTATTATTTCTATCTTCTTCCTCTTCCTCTTCATCATCATCATCATCATCATTATCATCATCATCATAAAAATCATCATTGTCATTAGTAATAGCAGCAAGTATAGAAGAAAGAATACGACGGTGACGACCATTATTATTGTTGTTGTTGTTGTTGTCGTTGTTGTTGTTGTTGTTGTTGTTGGTAGAAGATGAAGAAATAGAAGGTATGGGAGATAATATATCATTAGGATAAACAGAATTAACTAATTGACATTTTTTACTTCCTTCTTCAGCTTGAACTACTG